GGCTTTGCGGCAATTCCTTAACCAGAAAACGGGGTGGTGACTGCGTTGACCACTCAACTCACCCAAAGTAATGAAGAAGATGAACGATGCGTAGATAGAAGTGACAAGCAGGAAACATCACCTTCAATTCATGAATTAGAAGCTATCAGAAGGAGCCCCATGAACGAGCAGGTGAAGGCAGTTGTTAAGGGCTTTTGGAGCTGTCAATGCATCCTCACATAATCCCTAATTCGGACCCCCGGAATCCGTCTACAATGCCACATATCCCTAAGGTCCCAACATTACACCATTTTGAGACGATCCATTTGTTTGGCAACTTGCATCCTGCACTTCAGCGGCCATAGCCTCTCGCGACCTTTTCCGCGAAGGCTGCATACCTCATTCAAGGCTCAGGATCGACTCATGCTTCCCAGGTCGTGGGGTGGGGGATACTGATGCTCCACCTTCCTGGCTTCCACTGTGGGGCCACACTGCTATATAGGTCTTGAAGGAATACATATTCGGAGTTGTAAGATCACCAAAGAAGCCGGTGCAGAGAATGCCCAGAACCCCTAGCATAGGGTGGAATCTGCCATGGGCCTATGTAGGGGTTGATCGAACGTAAGAGCCCCAATCACCCCAATCATTGTCAGACGGTTTGGGGGGATAATGATGGTTATGAGGTGATAACATTACCAATCGAGCCGGCTTTAACATGAAGTGTTGCTCGTTCCAGGGCGTAGTTACCAGAGACTCCAGAGCTCATGGGCCTCACAGCTGGTTAGCCACAGTAAAGACTCGAACTTAAGTATCCGCCCCTCTTCAGATCTAGCCAGTTCTCCTTACTGCATTAATCTTCCGCGTTCAGTAAAGACCCCTTTCGCCCTACTGTCAGTAATTGTAGACTTGGAAGTGTACGGATTGATTGGTGGGAGTTGTCCAGCGGCAGCCCAGGGGTAAAAGGCCCTGCCCTACAAATAAACTTTGCAGGCTATTCCACTTTTCGATTATGCCCAGCATGGGAGACTCAGCCAGTTGCGTCTCGAGTCTGAATGAATGATGAAGGTTCCATGAAAAGGCGAAAACTGATGCTAGCAAGCATGAGGGGTTATGAGCAGGACTTCTGATTCCCCAGCCCTCAAGCCCAACACCGCTGAATGCTGCACAAGATCTGATGGCGGCGTTTTCGCCGGCTCCATCCGCCCTGTCCAGTCAACAGTTCTTACCAAAGGCCTTGAGAAATTTCATGTGGGGCATGAAAGCAGGGAGCGTTAAGACCGTTAAGAATTTGAATGCTCCTTCCCCCCTTCACCTGGCAGGAAACTAGACCAAAGCCAGATCAAAGGTCATGAGCAGCTCTGCTCATGCGCCAAAGAGCATGCAGTTGGTTGATGCTCTAAATCCTACATGACTTTGGATTTCGCCAACTCTTGTAGTTCATGCAGAGTTTGTAACATCAACAGCAGAACCAGTCGAAACCAACATCAGGCTGCACAGCGGAACCAAGTTGAAGGCAAGTGATTGAGGATTGTTGCTTCAGAGGGTTGTGGCTTGGGGTCTAGAACTGAGCATGGGCTGTCTCAAGAATGTATGATTTGTGCGCAAAAAACTGGGAGAACAATTTCTTCCTATTCAATCTTACAAAAGGCCTATCAACTTGTTGGGAAAGATGTTGAGACCAGTCATTCTGATTCAGAATGGTGCTGAAAGAGTTGCGGGCATCATGCAGGTTGTTGTTCAGGCTCCTGTCTGCTCTTCTATACACAGCACACTTCTTCAGGAGATGAATCCTTCCATGGCAGGCCAAGGGGTTTGGGTCCAAGCAGGATAGAGTTGGCTGACTTCAAATCTCTACTGAGAGCACTGAGCAACAATCAGCACCTGTTCTCAACCGGCTGCAGAGAAAAGCACAACGTTTTGGAACGTTGACCACAACGTGGACGCCATTCAGAATGTCTACTGGGCAAGTTCAACAAAAAGCCTGAAGCAGCGTATTCAGAACATTTCACAGAAACATCACATCGAGAAGCTTGTTTTTGTTGAAGCACTCAGATGAAACCGCTGGTCTACATTTCAGGCTCCAGAATCCTCCTGCAGACCCCATTGAAGCACAAGTCAAGTGTTAATTCGAAGGACCCCATCAGGACCCTGAATCAGGGATCCTGAACCACATGCACCTTCATGCCGTAATTCCTGAGTTGGGAATTAATCCTTAGCCCTACACGCTAAAGTCCTGTAAATCATATTCAGAGCACTACCCCGCTAAACTCTACAAACAGATCGGCCTCTCTCCTTCCTCGTTCTCCTCCTCTGCTAGGGCGGCTTCTATGAGTGCATCGGGCACCTGGCATCACCAGTAAACATTGGAAGGCTTCCACAAACTAGGTTTCCAAAGATCAGGGGTCTCGTTGGGGTTCTGAGGGCTATATAGGGGGAACTAAAGCCTATAGACTAAGGTTTAGGGGGACGGTTTCCAACAAGGGGGTGCCCACAAGAGGGTAATTAGTAGCTTGGGCACTTAAAAGGAACCCTTTTTAAATGCCTCCCTGCAGCCGCATGATCGAATCACATCTGGGCCATGCAGAGGGACATATAGGGCCATATGAGGCTGTGGAGATGCAGGGATGTCATGGGAATTTGGGGAGCACACCGCCGCTCAGGCCATAGAAAGAAATGGAGACAGCGCAAATAAGGCATGGCTGAGCACCAAGCCAAAACAGCGCAGCGTTTTCCCCAAACCTTGAAGCTTCAAACGTCAGCCATAGGCGCTGGCTCATGAGCCCCCCAGCCCAAAACTGGAAGCCCAAAATCAAGGCCGCGAACCCCAACTCTCCAGACCCTAACCCCAAGCAGAAACCCGCCTCTTCTCCATCTGGCTCCGCAGCCTCCGAACACTGATTTCTGTCACGCCATTTGTCCCTCTCCTTTCTGGGGTTGATCCCGGCTCTTGTAATCAAGTACAAAATTCGTAGGGAGATGTCATATTTTGAGACTACAAGGCAGGGCATCCGCCATTGCTGCCCCAAGCTTGTAATCCTCTCAATGTGGGGTAAAAATGCTTGCGCTGAGCCATTTGCACTTCCGCACTTAAAGTACTGGATCTCCTGAGAATTGACTGAGCACAACCGCCTCCGAGACTACTTTATTTCCAGCTTTTAAGGTTTAGGCATATGGACGGTCAAACTGCGAGACATTAAGCCTTCAGTTCCGAGAGGGTTCATGTTTTTCTGGCTTATTGTGGTCATTAAATCTCAATTTCCAGTAGACGCCCGGCAGAGTCCCAAAGAGGGACCCAGATGATTCTGGACATCTTAGCATTACTCTCCCATCTCAGAAACTACAAGTTATCGCGACATGATGAAGATCATCTTGGCGGGAGGGAGGCCACTGTCACTACCCTCCACTGAACAAACATCAAAACGGATTGTCTGAGTAGCTTTGCAGCCGTGGCCCTAAGGCCCTAAAGCCAACACCTTCATGTTTTGGTCCCAACATCATCAAACCCCAGACCCTCAACCAAGCCCCTTTGGCCTCCTCTGCGCCTTGCTGGTTCTGAGGATCGCTTACCTGCACCACACGATTTCAAGGTTTCAGGGCGTAGGGCGAAAGCCTACCTGATAGTCATACATCATGTGTCTCCACCAAAACTCAAAGGGTCCAAGCACCTATAAATTATATACTTCACAAAAAAATTGAGAACAGCCAATTAACAAGGTATCAAGATCATGTTTATCCATGTTGTTTGACCCCTTGAAAAAACCATCTTACATTGAAGGAAGGGTGCGGGGCGAGAGGTCTGCCCGGGCGGCTTCTCCTGGGACAAGGGCTTCAGCGATTCAGATCTTCGCCGACTTTCGCAATGCTGCTCTGTTTTGGAAGCTTCGAATCCATTGTCTGAAGTTGCCTTCTGCGCTGATGCCCCAGCTGGCGTTCATGATGCCAATTGACTGTTCCGGGGAGGCCGTCTTTTGAATGACATACACCCGAGCCCATACCGGGCCATGCAGGTGCAAGCCAAGTCTGTTAACTAAGCAACAAGGCACTGAAGCAAACAAGTGACCCCAAACCTCTGAACTGTCAACTAGCTAGGGCGGGCAACCAGCTAATCAACAAATACCTTTCTTGCGGCCATTTTGTCTGCCAATACCTGCCTCGTCGAAGAGTCGCGCCTGATCAGGGAGGCTGTCAAGGCGTGAGCTATCAACTGTTTCACTTGCGACCGGTCTTCCAGATTTCATGCTTGCCTGCGGCCCAGCCTGGGGTTTGTTGCCTAAAAAGTGGCTACATGCATCTTAAGGACCATTTGACCCAACCGCGTGCGAAAAGACAGTTGTGAACTTGTAGTCAGACAACTGAGGCTAGCCTTCTGCCTCAAGTCGAACATGGGATTCTCAGTTTATACTTCCAACCAGAAAAACCTGAGTATCTGGCTTTGGGAATCCCAACGAAGGAAGCATAAGTTTCATGCAAGCTCATCTATGCCTGGGCCTGGGTAGCCAACTGCATCACCACTATGTCAAACATCACTCTCCAAGCTATAAGTCTGAGAACTGAAGAAAAAAGCAACACGGTAGCTCTCGCTCCTATAGGGTTGTCATCGGATAGGGCAGGAATTTACAAAGTGTCCCCTGACATTTCTCCTTGAAGTGCCGAGATGGTTTAAAACAATGTGCCCGATGGGAGGCCTTTGAAGATGAGGAGTCCCTTGCATGATATCTGCTATTCATTCCTGAGTTTGGCTTGCACTGTCGCGGTAGAGGTGGACACTTTATACTATCTCTGGCCTCATGCAAGGCGTTCACGGGCGTCCCATTTTCCGGCGCGAAGTCCTCCCATGGCATGGGAAATAAAGCTGTGCAGGGGGGCACCAGCCATGTAAATCCATACGAGCTCAGAACCAAAATTGTAAAACATCGCTGTATCGATTTCTTCTCCGTCTGTCCGTGCCTCCTAAGCAATGAATGCAAAACAAAACATGAAATGACAATTACAAAACCTCTACACCCTGAAGCCACACAAGCCTACCCCCTCCCCCCAGCCAAAAGGTTCCCATCATCCTCCATCATCCCGAAGTTGGGAACCTCGTCTTCGACCTTGCATTCGTCGCACAGAAGAAGTGTCATGTTGGTATGTCGAAAGATGTCTATGGATTGACGGAAGCGATGCAGCGCAAACAATGAGGGTAGACAAGCGGCCCGGGAAGCTGTCAAACCACAGCCCAGCAGCGCTCTGACCACCCCAAAGCCAGAAGAACCCCAACCGGGAGTATTCAAAGCCTAGCCTGGCAGTTGCCACGAACCACGATGTTCCACCTACTACTACCTACAGACACATGGAGAACCTCTCTGAATTTCAGCTAGCTGTCTACCTAGAAATGGCCACCACGTGTTTAACTCAAAAGCCTGAAGCTATAATTCTAACCACCATTACTATACTGCTCCCTTAAACAGAAGACAGGACGAGTATCGCGATTGTCGCCTTAAACTAAACAGAAGCCAGTTATTGTAAGGAACACTGTTGCTCTGAATTTGCAGCTGGCGTCTCCAAAGGCAGCAGCCATGTCGGCAGCTTCCTCGCGTCCCCGCTTGATTCAGGTTCAGTCTCTATGCTGACGCGCGGCATTAAGGGTCGGACGAGGCTGAGGATGAATGCAGATTTACATGCCTTGCTCATTTTGGGAGGCTTGGCATATAAGGCCTAGGGAGTCTAGCTACTACCAACGATCCGTTTTGTACGTATGAGGGAGTGGGTTGCAAGGACTATGTTGTGAAAGGGTCTGATCAGGGACTGGCATAGGGATCTATTCCATTCCCAACTCATACCACCCATAAATACACCACCCCGTCCTGTGCAAGCTCTTGCGCCCGCACATCCTCTTCTGCCAGCGCTAGCTCTGCTTCGGCATCAACCTGCATCTTGCTTCAATACTGGGACCTAGGTCCTGAGGCGACATATAGATTTCCATAAAGGTTTCCCAGTAGTAAGGACTTACGGACTCTTGTACATAGGGGTAGATAAGGGGACCTACAGCAAACTATTCTGACAACACTATTCTACAAAAATACTGCTAACCAAAAAGGAGTGAGTCTTCAGGATCCCATATCATTTGGCATTTGTGCCTCCAACCGTAACTTTGTTTGCGGGAATTGTTCAATGGACACTAGAACACAAGTTTCAAAAGGGCATTCGGTGGGGGGGGGGACAGCGCTTACTCACAATGGGGGCTTCTCTCATGTCAAGTCAGGTTAGTAGGTCATTCTGGGGTCTGTCGGTATGGTAGTTTTGTGCTGGCTAGTTGGGTTTAAGGAAGTGGGTTGTTTGCTAGATAGGTGTTGAAACCGTGATCCATTTATGCATTTTTCTGTTCGCTGGGACGTCGAGCTTCCTGCTTTCAAATTTGAAGCACAAGTTTTAGGGTGTTCATTCAACGCCAATGTAGTGAGGCGTTTTGAAAACAGGAAGAAGAAGCTCAGGACTTGCGACCTCCTTTCAACATGAAGCGAAATCAGCAAGGGATTCTTGTAAGACAATGTGAGGAGCCCATAATCAGGGAATTCTCCGGCAAATTCCTAGCCAAGTTAGTATTGGTTTCAATTAAGGAAAATGCAGGGCCAAGGATTTGAGACTTCGTCCTCAACATTGAGACATATTCAGTATTTGTCAGAAGCCGTTGAGATACTATAAGTCGGGTTACAAGTACAAATCACAATCACATGTATATGCATATTCATACTGGTGAAAAGAAAATGTTAGAAGTATCGAAATGATTCCGATTCTCACAACAAAAACCTTTAGATTATTTGGATCTTGGGATTAAGGAGAAGGAACATACCAAACAAATGAAACATCCTCTGCCCACATTGTAGTGAATGAGATTCCATAGAAATATTGTTTTCAAAAAAGTAATGAATGCAACTATAACCAAGGCATGTAGCAAGGTAGAGCGAGATGGCCGAGTCGCAAAACCACTGCTGGGTGTACAAGGATATCCCAATCCTATTTTTAGCTAGACAAGCACAGTGTAGTGCCTCTGCTTCCATCTGAAGCTGCGCTTGTGCCTCTAAGTCGGCAGCATACTCCTGGCAATCCAGGTTCAGCGTTACTAAGGGTGCCAAAACATTCTTACGAGGGGTTAAGTCAAATTTCGACATATCAAACAAGGGGATGTAGCTTTGAGAGGTACCTGACTCCTAGGGCTGGGGCAAGTAAAGTTGGGAATACAGGTAGTCACACATCGCAAGCCGGTGTTACCAAGGCAACCTGCATGGTGGCTTATCCGCATCAATGACAATAGTTATAAGTTCGAATGTGCCGGCATATAGTACTCATGGGATGCAGCATAAGCCATACATCCTACGGCCGACATTCCTATTCACAAGGACCGGTGAAAACAGACGATTCTTCGATACAAGCAATAATGGACATGCGGAACCCCGCGCAAACAATGAATGTTTGCCCTCCTCAAAGTCCGTGTCCCCTATGTCCAGGGCCACATCCTGAAGGCTCCAGACATGCTATCATTCCAGCTGCTAGATAGGGGCGCTGTCGTGAACTGAGCTCTATACTTCAGATGGCGTCCGTGGTGTTTGTGGGGTCTGAAGACGTTGGGCTCTTGATGAAAAGGTACGGAGTGTAAGACATTGGTCCGATTGCCTCTATGATATTCAACATGCGCGACATGATCTATAGAAATGTCTAGAAACCTGTTTCTGGTACACTGTACAGGTTTGGGAAGTACAGGACTTTTCATGTGGCCCGCTTACTGGCACGCAAGGCTCATCTCCTGCAAGGTCAACCCAAAATTTCATGCCAAGCTGTCACAACAAAAGCTGTGCCTGCGAAACAAGTGCGGCCATGAGAATTGGCAGTCTCGGTCTGGACGAAGATTCTTCTTGGGGGCTATCCAGGCTTGTTGAAACTCATCTGCTTGCGTTATACCACGACACTCACCGTGGGCAGGCTTTATGCCCATGAGCGAAGTTGAGATTGTAGGAATTTTTGGGGTGCGGCTCCGCGGTATGGCTACCCAAAATTTGAGGACTCAACGGCCACTCACTTTGATAACAATCCGTATTTAGAAGAAAACAGATTTGATCCTGATGCCCGACTGACATTCAGCCGTAACCGCTTCGATCCCTGTTACGCGAATGCAAGCAACCTATGCCCTAACCTCCAAGCTCCGCAGGAGAAGATGTCTTACCAAGTCCCGCACGCGGGAGGTGTCTGCGTTTGTATCCACTGCCCAGCCAAGCTCCTAAGCTACATGCAAAAAGGGAATGGGGAGGGGGATATAGGATTTTTTGCTTTCTGGTGTACAGGTTTTTGCGGGCTCATGGCTCCTTGCTAAGGGTTCCCGTTGGGATTGCCAAGGTGTTGGTACGTTACGTCTTCACCCCTTGTCAGAGCCAGGCCTCAGCCCAAAGCATTGCACAGTTGCAAGCCCAGCTACAGATGGACAATGACACAGAGGAACATCCGAACCCCCAAAAGACCTTGACATGTCGAAGCCCAAGGCCCTCAGCCAACAGGAGAATCATAGCACGAATAATAACAATAGTTTGCTATGACAATAAGAGCCTAGTAATGTAGTAATGGCCAATGTGACAATAAACCACATAACGCTGATCGCGCAAAAAACAAAAAACAAAAAACGTAAGACCAATGCACCTCTCCCCAGACTAACATCGAAACCAAGTGGTAGTCCCTATATAACCCATGATAGTAGTTTCCGTTGTTTTTTCCATTCCTTCATTCCCACCCTAAATCCTAGACCCTCATCAACCCTATACCTACATAATCCCATCTAGTCTCTTATAGTTTCCATTGTCTTTTCTATTCCCTAGGGATCCACGTATACATTATCCCTATATAATCCCAATATACTATAGTAGTTTCCATTTTCTTTTCCATTATCCCTATTTCCCAATTCCTTCAGTCCAGGCGCAGCATCCGCGGCCTCCCCAGCTTCTTGGCTCTCAGGCTCGGGCTCAGGGCCTGGCTGCGGCTCCTCCAAAACACGGGGCGCTGCATCAAAGGGGGCATATGCCTTGGGGTACGGTAGGGTTTGGGGTTTAGGTCCTGCATGAACAATTTTCGGGGGTATATGTTGTATTGTTGTATAGCTCTTTGGAGGTTTTTTGGGGATGAGTTCCTCAATGGTTCAGGCTCTTCAAGCTTCTGCATTAGCAACGACGTTCCTAAATTCATACAGTACAAGCGCTCATTCCCTATTCGAACAAGAATTTTGTCCGGAGTTCTACCAGAGCGCACATACCCAAAACAGAGCCCTGTATTTCTCTATCGGCATCCGAGTCAACCTGAGAGCAATCACTGATGGGCATCTAGACGGGTTGTATGATCTTCTTCGCCTCCTTACCCCACAAGCGCGAGGATTCTGGAAGTACGATCCTCCCTCAATTTTATGTAGATAGCGAAAAGTGTTCCGAGCTGGCATGAAGCGCGGGCGGGTGTGGGGGAGTCTCCTGGTAGGCTTGCAATATAAAGCCCTCATGGGCTGGAACTTCCATTTCCCCGGCCTTCCCTGAGCTCTCATGCTTGCGGACTTGCGCGGAGTCCTCCTCACCTTCCTCTTGCGCACATCCCTCCAGAAGCATGAAATAGTTGTCCACATCCTCGGGACAGGCATAACACAAGCTCCTGAGGTTGAAGGCTCTTGCGTGGTGGGTTCCCAGGCACTTAGCAGGACTTCATCGAAGAGAAAAACCCGAAAATCCCATGATTTCACCAGGGGACGTCAGGGATCATCTGTAAGGGCTGAGACAGCGAAATTGAGCTAAATTAGGACTCTCAGTGCAAGCGTACTCTTAAGCTTGATGCACCTCCACATATGCAGGAATGACAACAAAACGGAGGAGTTGGTAAGGAGTGTTCTGAGATATTGCCATGCCATCCCAGGCACTAGACCAGAGATGTCCAAATGCATATCAGCAAGCACTAACGCGCATGATAAATTGCAAGAAACAAGCCGTACGGCAGCTCCTGGTCGAATATGTTCTAGGCTTGAATCCCTTCCGTACTTGGGACATACCCCCAGCATGATCTCAAAGCCTTGTGAACCCCAAATCATGCATGAACCTGACAGATCCCCGTGCAACCAAACAAAACCCTCTGAAAGCTTGGCATGGACGCAAGTGAACATCACCTGGCCTCCCCCGACTCCATGGCCAGCGAGGCACAAGCGGACAGTTGGAAAGCCAAGTCTCGATGCCGAGCAAAGTCCCTAGAGCTTGCGGTTGTTTGGATAAGCCATACCCTCAACCCTTAACTTTCCATTTTCTGCTGAGAAGGCAGGTTCCCCAAGAAGGCAACTTTTTGGCTTCGACTGTATGTTGTTGTCAAATTAAAAAGTCTCTTCTGTTTGCATGTTGCGGCATCACCCTTACCAGCATTACCAACACTCCATGACGATCAGCTTGCATGTTTCATGATGTAGTTGCACAATGACATAGAGCCAAATGTCTCTAAGCAAGCCTCCTGCGCGGCCGTCAATTGCAGCGCATTTGCCAGGAACAAGTTTCCCAAAGAAGTATAGAGCTACACAAGGCCTTCTGGCAAGTGCCAACCGAACGCTCAATCTCAAGCCCCTGCACGTTACCATGTAGCAAGGGCTTCAAAACTGGCCTGCCAGGTCAAAGAGAGCCACAAGGAGGGCCGCATGCTTTAATAGAAATGCAGATAGCGCGCGCGCTGTAAGCTAGTCTAGAATGTTCTTTGGTCTGGCGATAGCACTCCATCCCCCTCTCAGAAGCCACTTCAACCCAACATCTGAAACCCCTGCATGCTCGTTCTGTATCGTTCGTGAACAAGAACTTGCTCAAAACTGCCAGCAGTACATGGGCACACAAACTCCCATACCTTCATCCCTCCATCCGTTGATGAGGCTTGCAGAATGCCCCTGCAGCTGCTACAGTAATCCGAAGCACTCTGAAGCCAAAATTAGCACCCGAAACCCGTAAAGATAGCTTGCTTCTCACAAGTGGATGTCCCGTATGTACCCAGAGTGCAAAGACTTGCCGTGTAAATATCCAGAAGAAAGGAGTCAGCTTTGGAGAAGCTTCACATTCTCAAGAGGGTTGTCCAATGGCTCCTACAGTATCTAACCGCTACACCTCAACCCCAAGCAATAGCTGACCAAGTCACGGATGTCGGTTGCATTCCCTTGATGCCATTTACCATGTTCTATCTAGACAAGGGTGACGGGGAGTAGAAGTCAAGGGCTCACATGAGCCATAGTCTAAACTCCTACTATCCTCGTGAACAGCCCGAGAAATAGTCCCCCTTAAGTAGATAGAATATGGCTTTGGGTATATTATAATAAGATCCCCATATACCCCATATTCTATTTACTTAAGGGCGACGATAACCCCCTTAGGGACTCAACCTCGCATCACTGACTCCCAGGGAGCCCCAAGCACTCCGTTGCCTCTGGCGGATCCAAGAAATCGGTTCCTCGGTAAAGTCTGGCAGCTTCCCAAAGGGTGACCCTATTGTAGACCCAAAATACTATAATGCTTACTATGGGGACCCCCACACAGGTACCGCTAATTTCCGGAAACCCCCCCATGTGGGATAATGGAGTCTTTATACTGGCTGCTGCCCTGGGCGGTCAGGGGGGATTTTTATCAAGGAGTGGTAATCACAAAGTTCTCCGGCGCACAAGAAATAGAACATTTTCTCCTAGCAGCTTATAATCCCAGTTTCCATTTCATTCTCCATTTTCTTTTCCATTTGATTCTCCATTATAGGGATATAATAACCCCAATATATAACCCCATCTTGGGTACCCTAATATTACCGAGGCATGAGCTACCATCCAGGAGCCGAAGAAGAGCAGGCTGAAGCTGTGCGCATGTCCTGTTCATCAGGTGTAGGATTCTGGGTTTGAGGTTCAGGCTGATGAGAGGAGAACGTCTCAAAAATGCAGTCCTTGTAGGGGCATCCCAAGAATAGTCCTATGGTCCCTAGGGTAGCGCAGCTTCAGCAAATCCAGGTTCCGTTCCGTCATCCTATTTTGGGCGGGTGAGGTGTTGGAATTTTTCTGGGTAGGGGATCACGCCAACACCATACTACGTGAATGCCTAGAGCAACTGAAAGCAGTTGCATGAACACTGAGGCTGGCAATGTCCAGAAAGCCACGGTCGAGAGCATGGGATAGGAAATGTCAGTCTTGCCTTACTCCCCGAGGTTACATTGAAAGCAGAGGCCCAGAAAACGAAGTCCTAAACCACGAACCTGCGAGTAAATCCTGCGGCTAGCCTAAAATTCTTGGCAGAAATGACCAGTTGGATAGATTTGATCCACGTTTTCCGGCTAAGTACACGAAGGCCAGTGAACAGCGTGAGACAAACCCCTTGCACTTCCCGCAACTTCTCATGAATGGACCCCGTAAGTGACATGCCCACTTGCCACTGCCCAGGTCCCGTTTGTCTTCCTCGGAGAACTTGCCGCGTTCGAATAGGTACCCCAAACGCTGACAAAATCAAAAGTGATCCACATTTGGCCCACCCCATAATCCTATCCCACTTCCAAAAGGAAGACCAGGGGCCAAGCTGAAAGGAACGGATGAAGCCGAAACGAATGAGGAACTGCAGCGTCTGCACCACAGCCTAGGTGGCTTTTCTGCCATTCTAATTCACCATGTCTGCAAAGTATTGATGTTAGCTCTTCGGGGACTGACTTGATATGCTGAGACTCCTGATGATACTACAAGTATCCTTGCCGGCGCAACGCTAACTGCGAAAGGTGAGCGAATCAGCCCACTAGCCCAAACCTGAGGAGTGAGGTAGCGGCCACCAAAGTAAAGTGTTGCGCGGAGTCGATGCAGACAAAACCCTTGTGGCACTAATCGGAACATTGGGATCCCTATATTCCCTATCAGAATCTCCTCAAACTCAGAAATGGGCTGGTGAATCAGGGGTCCAGAACAAACTCTGACTTCATAGCTGCCCTACCGTACCCCATCATAGCTTACCTGATACGCTATGCCACATCTGGAAAGTACTTGGGAAACTGTTGGTTAGATAAGCTTCAGCTAGCTCTAAGCCCACGGCCAGCGTGAGCTTGTTGTCATCCTCTGCACTGTGCACTTGATGCTCCACCTGCACTGAACGTGTAGTGGACGCAAGGGGGGCGCCCGGAGGAGGTAAAAATCTAGAAGGTTTATGGCTACACATGGATTGGGTAAGCACCTAGGTTTCGATTGCTCAGGCAAACTGCGGAGCTGCCTCATGTATGGATGGAGTGACGAGAGATTCCAGGCCGCGTATTGCGGCATACATCCTTGCGGGGTTATTGACCATTGAATCTAAAGGCAAACCTGTGAAACAAGCAACTCTGGGCACAGGTGGTCTGCAAGGGTCTTTTAGGATGGCATCCCCCAAAACTACTGTAGCTTTACCACTTCAAAACTGAGCAACAAATCACCTCATTGGAGACTTGAACCATTGCCACCAGGATGCAGATTTCCATGAGCGGTCAAACTGATGATTTATTTTGGCCTGGGGACATCTGCTGCAAGGGGCTATCGTTATGATGCTCACGATGGTACCGAAGTCAACATGCTCCTTTGGATGCCTGCGCAGGCCTTTCACGTCCTGCGCCGACACAGACTATACTGGTGCTGTATCCTAAGCACACGCACGGGGTTTTCAGAATATCTGGGCTTAAGAACCCACACAGCCTGAAAATGTGCAAGCCTGATTGCATGACCCCTGTCACACAGAGTAACCCTATCCATCCTTCGCAGCAAGTTTGGAAGATGACTGTCGTACTCTTCGGATCAATCAGCCTTGGGACCCGCCGTGAGGTAATGGCAGACGGCCTGCGCTGTGTTTGGGATAATGATGTTAATTTGTTAATCACACGAGGTGCAGGTCTGGCACACGACGGGTTTGTCAGGGAGTTCATGTGGTTCTCTCAAAGGTGATGTAAGTTAGGTCGCTGAATGGCTTAGTAAAGGCTGAAAGGGGATTATGCGCACCAGAGCTGGGTCCACGCTCAGATTCCACATGCTGAATTTGCTGTCAACTAGTTGCCTTTGCACCGACGGGTGTTGATTCAGCCTCTGGCGCCCTGAGGATTTTTTTAAAAGCACTTTAGCTACCATGGAGGTGCTCTGTGGCAAGCCCAAGCCATCCCGTAATGTACCACGATCAACGGACACCTGAAGCTTCTTCAGGCGAACCTGAATTTCACACCCCAGACGAGACTCAACCAAGGTCCCAGGAGCTCATATGATGAGATATCCCAAAACCCTTAGAGCTCTTGCAAGCTGCGGTTCTTGCCTGCTCATGACAAAGGCCCGAGGTCCTGAACGAACAGATGGTCCCTTCAGGCGCCTGAGCCAGCCCCTCAAGCTTCTCCGTTGTTCGAATGCTGTAGAAGTCAAGGACCTGGCATACGCAGCAGGCAACGCAAGTAATTAACGTAACCGTCCCAAAATCAGCCATGGCCTCTGAAAACTTGCTAACTCCCTGAAACCGACATTTGCGCTAATGACTTGGGATGTGTCATATTGTACTACTGATACGGGCAACATCTGAAGAACCTCCCTCCGTTAGAAGTATGTTTCAGACTGAATCTAGCAGGTCTTCGGCACAGTTGGCGCTCAGGCAGACCCCCAAGCTCCTGCGGCAACAGAAGTCTGTCATGCCCTTTGCCCTTCAGAAACCTCTGTGATCTAAGTTTCGTAAGCACTCCTCTCAGCCGTGAAAAGGCCTTCAGTATCTGGGTTGACAGCCCGACGCCTGCTATCCCTCATGTTGCAATTTGCCACAGGCACTGGTCATATGAAGACATAAAGAAACCGCGATAAAAATCCTGATGCCCATGCCGCTACGGGCGCAAGCAGCTAGTGGTGTTTAATGGTGCCTTTGCACAAGCCCTTCAACCTGAGAGCAGACAGAGCCTCCTCTGGCAAGGACTGCGCATGCTCTGCCTAAGTCCACTGAGATCTCAGGGCTCAGAAGAGAGGACGGCTGCCGTCATCTGTAGATAAATAGGAAACCCGAAAAATTGAGCAGGACTGGATCGAAAGTTATCCACGTTTTCCCCTACTTCTTCAATATTACACCTGATGTTTTGCAGAGGACGGCAAGTCCAGATAAGGGCCTTGGGCCTGGACTGCGATCAGAAGCCACCAGGGCATCGTGTAAGTAGTGAGTTTAGGCTTTGGATCTGACAAGGTGTTGTGGGCCACGCAGCTTGGGGAGGATTAGGTCTCAAAGGTTTTCGGGGTTCAAGGAAGGCCGTTCACGGTCCCCGGTCACCAGAAGCACCAAAGCACCAAGAAGCCGGGAACTGAGCCTAGCAAAAAAGAGATTGTAAACGAGCTACTTGGCGCGCTAGGGTGGCTGGAGCTCTTGCTGATAGTTTCCAGTAATCGGATGTGAGGGAAAGTAATCACAGAGGCCCCAGGATTGCCAAGAGCTTGACCCCAAACCTTCTCTGAACCCCAATGGGCACCTGATTTCCCAACAGGAAAATCCTGCCCCCATGATTGTCAAAGCTAGCCTGCTTTCCAGTCCCAGGGCTACGGCGGTCCAGGACTCGGGCTTACTCTCCTCAAGAGTTTTGAACAATTAGAAGGGTGCCAGTCCATTCAAAGTGAAGACTGAAAGTTCTGCTCAATATGAGCTTCGGCTTAAACTGCTTAAAGGGGGGGTAAGGGATTTTATAGGGGATTACTTTAAAGGTTTTGAAGGGGGATACTAGGAGTTTACACCCTAAACGCCAAATCCTACGGCTATTCAGGGGGATACTAAAGTTTAGAGTATAGTGTATAGCTAAACAAACCGATAACATAAACAACAGCGAGCTATGACTGGAGCAATGAAGTCATCATGTGCTTCTATAACCAAGAACACATTTAGGGGGTTCCAAAGATTTAGGGTACCTTTTTGGGAGTACTTGACAATGAAGATTACCATCTAGTATATATTGGTGTCCCCTATATGGGGAAAGTACCATTCAATGTCAGTACCGAAGCCATTATCAAGCTGCAAAAGGAATTGATACCCAAGGTCAAGCATGTTCGGAATGCTTTCTTTCGCATGACATATAGCCACATGGTTTGGAGGTGTTGGTGGGTGCAGAACGAATGCCGGACCAATATGCTGAATTCAAAACCTGCAAGACAAAACAAACAGTTTGCCAGATGGCTGGCTCAAATCACTTCGAATAGCAGGCCTGACTGCTGCTCAAATGGCTGCGCGTCGCTGAAATATACTGCTTAGAACTGGGTCGTGAAATGCCATTGCAAAACTATCCTCTACAGGGTTGCAGGGTTAAATCCATGAAGCTGTCAGGACGAGCCGAAGCCGTGGACGCTTTTTCCGCGCATACTGGGATGATCAGGATGATCCTTCCGAAAGGCGTTGCATCTTTTCCTGCTCCTCACGGATAGCCACGCCGCGGATAACCTCAAACGCCTGAAAAGGAAATTCCCATGGTGGTTGGTCCACCCAATACTCCTCCGGCTTGTTTGAAGGCTTAGGGCTTCTAATGCAGACTTGTGAACACACCTTCATGGACAAGGGACGCTTCCCAAGTGTTGTTCGTCTTTTTAAACCCTGACCGTCAAGCACGCTTGAATTTGCATAGCACAGCACGTGGCCTCCTGATATCTGATTGTTAGTTAGCCGCCACCTATTTACCAAATTGAAGAACAAAAACAGCCTGAGTTTGCTCCCCCCTTTTATCTCTAGGTCGCGTTCGTCTGAGCTTACACCAGATACCATTCAAACTCCTGGAGCTCCGCGGGTCCTGAATCTGAACAGCCTGGAACCCACCAACCGGAAACACGCCGAATCCCGCCCTGTTGCTCCTCCCTCATCTCCTCGCCAGGGGGCACCAGACCTGCATAAGCCACGCCTTCCAGTTTTTCTGGCGAGATGTCAAGAAAGTCCAGCAGATCTAACTCCCTGTAGATGTCCTCAGATGAGGGCATCTCTCACCGGTGCTCACACATCACCCTGATTGTTTGTGATGCTCAGTCTTGTCACGAAGAAAAGGATGACACGTCGCAACCTTTCTAAGGAAAAGCTCTTGCACCTGCGTGCAAGGCGCAAACAGGACTAGTCCGAGGGAGGGAACTACTGACTACCACATAAACCATATAACAAACAGTGAAACTAATGCCCTGGCTTCAGTTGTCTCTCGTCCTCTAATACCTTTCCAGGTGTCTGACAGGAACCATCGGCCATGGCCACCGCATCCGTGGGCGACTAAAGGCCGGTGTCCAGTGGTGAGATTTCGGATGCGCGGAGCTTGTGGCAGGTCCTTTAAGTAGTTTCTGGGGGCTACGTTTTTTTTGGGGTTTGGGGAACGGAAGTCCACATCATCTGTCAGGGGTGGGTGCATAGGACTCTAACCTCGTCAGTGATAACATGTGAGAACGTTTCATGCAGACTTGGAATTTGTTTGTCAACAGCTCCACCCAGACTGAAGTGCTCTGAAGACGCGAGCCTTCTCAAACTCCCAGCCACATTCCGGCTCCCCCATGTTCTGAAAAATGTAGCATTCCGTGTCTAGCTGAAAAGGGTAACGGACCCCCTGCTCTTGCCAGGCAAGGAGGAACTGCTGGACTCTCAGCTGATCGTCATCCTGATCTGTGTAAGAGCCTCCATCTGTCCCGTGAACAAGGCCGTGAATGAAAGCCCTCATGGCGGCAGCGGTGCCAACCATACATCCTGAGTTGGGATACTTCCACGGAGTTTGAATGCCAGGAAAATGGCGCTCCATCTTGGGTGCCATCTTGTAATCTGGGGCACAAATGCGATCAGCACCACACAGCACGGCCCCATCCGCCAGGATGTTACTGGCATGTAACTTCTCCGCAAACTCCTCAGCGGGGCCCAGGATGACAGTATCCCAGGCATCCAGAAGCAGAACCGGCTCATTGGGAGGGATCTCACGTCCCACCATTTCAGTCAAAGCTTTGTCGTAAAGGATCAGCTTCATACCTGGAACAATGACTGCTGAGGACATCCTTGATTTTTGTTGTGTTTCGTCTAATTTGCAAATCATCCCTCTTTCTCTCAACGGAGAAGTGCTGCAGCCTGACAAGTACAAGTGCCATTGGCTGCCGGGTGTGAGCAGCGGAGCTGGACAAGGGATCGCTAGCTAGAAGTAATGACTACACCCTAGGCCCTAGGCCCCTAGAATTTCCACTGGATGTGGCTTGCTTTTGCGAGGGCTCAAGTCTAACCTCAAACTTTTGTGGAAACTTGCTCGAGAAACGTGACCTCCGAAGACAAAAACAACCCCAACTTCAGCCCAAGGACCCACCCCTGTGAAGTGCTCCCCGAGCCCCACCATATGGAAGGAGTAGCCATGGACGGCAGCACTCCGCTCAAGAATCACCGTCTCCTGCCTGTAGGCATTGCCTGGTTGCTATGCTGCAACACTCTTCTACAAGGTTTTGCTTGCATTCCGTGCTTTTACTCTGGTAGCACAGGCCCCACGTCTATTTGGAAGATTCCTGGCTTGACTTTGTATCGATGAAAAGAAAGCAGACATAAACAAAACTGCTCAACTTTCAAGCAGTTGCAGGCAGAAAGTATGTGCACCGGACTCCTGCTGGGGGCAGAACTGCCAGCTTGCGGCTGCGATGCGATTGCTCGCCGCCACCTGTGGGCTGCAAGAGAAGACTGCGCGGAGAAGCAGGGCAATACACGTGTCCGTATGAGCACTGCAAGGATCACACAAGGATCATGTAAGGCATGCCCCAGGTTCTGTGTCCAATCTCCATCCAGGAGCCTCTTCCCTGGAAAAACTGCACCCAAAACCCTTGTGCAAAGCAGAGCTCCCAGGAGAGGCACTGGTGTCTTTCTCTAGGAATGCACCAGAGGAAGTCTATGGCTATTTCTAGACATATGTCCACCCCTCACACGCCCAAGAATTCTTCCATGCCTGAATGGAAGGGCTCTCAAGTATACAATTCAAGAGCTTGTGTTCCAAAGACCCTGGATATGCAAGGGTGACCTGCGACGCTATCATCCAGTTTGCGGTCAAACTTCGATGAATACTAATGGGTGTTGCTGGATTATAGTCTTCGAACCTACATGCAGTCGTGTCTGCGAGGCCAAACTCAGACTCTTCCAGAATCCCAGCTTCTGCGGCCCAGGTACACAATGGTATATTACACAACACTAGCGGCTCTAGCACTTTCTTAGGAAGACTAGTATGTAAGCTGCTTGTACAATAACTGAAGTCTTTTCCGACCTACGGTTCGAGGAGGAAGATAGCATAGGGTCCACGAAGCTCGATTCAGTTTGGGAGTCAACACAGTGAGTACAAAAGTCAAACGGGGCCCATGGCTTTGATTTGCAAGAAACTTGTCCGCACTTTCTAGACCAACGTAGGATATGTTGATCTAAACTTTGAGCTGGTTAAAATGCAGCTCCAGGCCACTGGCAGTGCAACGAGGTACTCGACCGCGCTCGTCGCTCTCGCAGCTGAGAAAATGATCCAAGCGCCAGCGCAGCTGTCGACCACGCAGGAAGAGGGTTGCAGCTTGCCTTGACAAACAGAAGAGTGGAAGCTTCAAAATCCGTAGACATGCCCACCTACACACTCACAAATGTCTGTGATTAGGGAGGTCCTAGCATCAAGCTTTCTTCTGACAATGTGGATTGGTATCGTACAAGTCCTGCCACAGCGATACTGCAGGCAACCCTTGAAGACTGGCCTCATCCTCTGGGGAAGCCAAACAACTACTGGAGTAGTGCCAAAAACTCTGCGAGTAGGTCACATGAAAAGCCTTGCTGTTTGATGCGCTGGCTGCAAAACTGCGGGACCTGCTGATCTTCTGCACTTCGCAGGGCAAATGCCTGGGTGAAAAGGAGCGGGCCAAAGGCTGATATCTCAAGCTGCCCACCATGGCGTGCTAAAGCATGCTGCCGGCCTCACCTGAAAGCGCTTTCTAGCTGAACAGAAGGTAGCCAAGCGACATCTAGAAATGGTAATGTGTTATGGCCATGACAGGCGAAGGCGGAATCCGACTCGTAGTTGTTGCAGGCGAAGCGATGCTGTGAGTAAGCGGTTGCTTGTTGTCTGTTGTGGAAGGCGATTCTTGTGATCCGGAGAATAGAGGCTTTCTGAAAGCAATCTTCTACATGCCGTGCTACACGCGAGCACCTGTGCCTGCGGGCCGCATGCGCGACCAGAGCACTTCTGAAAAGCATATCCTGGATGATAACCGAATCCTGAAATGCAACCTTAATCTCCAATGTGCGGATTCACTGCGCATGCGATCTACTACATTATGTATGTATGTATGTATGTATGTACGTACGTATGTATGTATTACGTACGTATGTATGTACGTACGTATGTATGTACGTACGTATGTATGTACGTACGTACGTATGTACGTACGTAATGTAATGTAATGTAATGTAATGTAATGTACGTAGGTAATATAATGTAATGTAATGTTATGTATGTATGTATGTATGTATGTTTGTATGTATGTATGGGCACTGGAAGCCATAGTGCCGTACCGAAAACGCCAACAGAAACCGGCAAATACAACGCTGTGAAACGAAACTGTCCTGCCTTTTTTCAGTGTCAGGTGGCTTCTACTTTTCTTTTCGGGTTATAAATATCCTCTTCTTGCAGTGCTATCATGGCAAATCATACATCAGAAATTGTTCGAGGCAACTTGGCAGATTATCGAATATAGGCTCTCTCAGGACCTAAGTAGTCCCCGTGCGCTTCCCAAGCCTCTTAAGATCTGTACAGACTGGCGCTTGTTGAGTTCACCGGCTTTGAGAAGTTCTGAAAGGTATGCAAACCGCGGCACTCAAACATTGGGCTAGGGTTAAACTGGGTTGTACATGAGTCACAGTCTAAACTCCTAGCATCCCCCTCAAAAAACCCCACAATACTCCCTATCTACTCCCCTATATAACCCCCTTTGAGGAGGTTAGACAATAGCTCAACTGTGTTCATGGTACTTTTCCGATCCAGTCCTTCGCCAGCCGAAAAACGGGCAGTGTCAGGATGGCCTGCAGCCAGCCCGGCGTACGGGTCAGGGCACATCAGGTCTGGATGTACATTGAGTGCGTGGCTTCTCCCTGAACCCCCAAAGTATGTAGAATAGCCTTTTTGGGCTGTTTGTGTTTTAAAAAAGTTTGGGTATTAGTTTACCTACTTTTGGGGTCTAGGTTGTAATCAGGGATGCATCAGGGTCCAGTGTAGTGAGACGGCAGCACAGCCACAGCTTCACGCAGGTCCTTCAAGCCAAACGTCCTGCCTCTTGTGGGTCTAAGCCTAGAAAGCTCCACAGGCCTGTTCAACGCAATGCCCCCGATTCCTCTCATGCAATCCCAGTGACCAGCTCTTCATGATGCTCCGTAACCTTCTTCAATGACTAGCTTATTATACCGAACCTCAACAGCAGCCACATAGGAGCGCACTGATCGGTATACATGGACATACAGACATATGTCCCACCACTGCATGTTCACATTCAGTAATGCGTTGATCGGTGAAATGAGGTTCCCAGAGCTAAGGGCTATTCTTATGGGGAGTCCCTGATAGCTGAAATGAGTTTGAGCCTGCCCGGAGCGAGCGGACCGCATCAAACGAGGCCTTGGAGGTCGTCCGCAAACGACTTTTGCTTGAGGCAATTTAAGAAGTCCGATCTAATTGACTCTTTATAGGGTTGGCGGACTATCTGCCGGAATGTATAAGGATGACCTCTGACTCGTTGATTTGGCAGCTCAACTGGGCAACAAGATGTTCTCGCCAACCCCATCACACGAAAACTCCACAACTTCTGGGGGAGGAATCTTTTCTGAATCGAATCTAACGAATACCTTTCCGAGCGATTTTCAGCTCGACGTCCACTGTAGCTGAGCGAGGCACACCACCACCTGTCGTGTACGCAGGGTAGGATTTGTAAGGACCAGGACGTCAGGGTGCGGATTCAGGATTTGGGGACTTAGGGCTTACAGGGCTCACGATTTGAGATTTGGCATTCCAAGTCTTAGTGAGGAGGCTACAGTTCGCGTTGTTAAAGATTGTTTAAGGTTTAGGTTGCGTGGGTTTGGGGTCTCCCTTGTACGTAACTTGGTAGGGTGAAAAAGTTTAGGTTGCACGGGCTTGAGGATAATAAATTTGATTACCAATCCTAAAGTCAAACAAACCTTCCCACAAATTGAAGATGTTGGCAGTATCTTCATGACACGAAAAATGTGAAGATGTTAGGACCGTATAATGGTGTGAGGGCTGTGTATCGCTGGGGCCACATTGTAGTTAAAACCTAGAAGATGGGGAAACCTCACACAAGGCGAGAACACTTGCAGCTTCATGGGGGCTTCTACGTAAGTTTATGCAAGGTGGGCCAGTCTCTTCATGGCTTTTTAAGCAAAACTACTTTGTTTTCATGCCCTCTTCTCTTTTTCTCTTTTATCTAGCCCAGCTACCTAATGAACCTCCACCTTCCCCTGCTATCCCCAGTTTACACCCAGACTTGAAACCAGCGCATGAACCTGCAAGCAGGAAAGTTCTTGAGCGAGGGGTCCGCGGTCACGCTTGGTTGGACAAGACAAGCATGGAAAAACAACCTTAAGGGTGCCCCGGTGAGGAAATTTGATGAACCATGCTGACTTGTCATTCCTCTCGCTGTGGTAGAGCTGCAAAACTGCAAAAGTGGGGCCACTCATACATTCCTCTCTTCATCATTTCTACGGCGGAAAGCCGCAACTAGATTACTGCTTTCATGGTCGTGGTGACTTATACATCTAGACAGTCACACATTCTACGTCATCAGAGCCACAAGTTTACTAACATGACAAATCTACGTAAATTCTAAGACAAGCATAGGTCTACCAACAGCTGTCCGTGCTTTTTTGCCAGCTCTTGCACCTAAGCCCTTGACCCCCATGCCTGGTAGTGCGGATGCCTGTCCACCCACAAGGCCATCAGCAGGTCATAGAAGCTGGCACGGATGCTGGACGGCCTAAGACTAGAATGGAAGG